CTCTTCCCCGCTCTGCAGTCCATCTGATTCCGGTCTGATGAAGGCTGCAGACCAAGGTGCTCCACAAGGAGCTGCTATAACCCCACAGTGGTCATAGCGATGGCAGGGTCTGTGGCAGCAGCCATGTTGGTGGTGTTCATGCTGATTGTAGTGAACGCCCGAGGGTGAGGAAGACGGCAGGAGAGTGATGAGATGGTGATCATACAGGACATGCCTGGATTCATGGAAGTGGTGGGTAGAGTATTAAAAAAGCAGCCCAACGCAATTTCCACAGAGATCAATGAAAATGAATAATAGTTATTATAATGATAGCAATATGAATAGGAGACAACAACACCTGCAGAAAGCAACAGGACTAGAGAGAAGGACGAAAAAGCTCAAAACTATGGGAGAGTTTTATGTTACTATGCACTGGTTAAAGCTTTCCTGCTTAACCATGCGAACACAGCTTGGATGACATTTAAGTTAATGTAGCAAAATGCGTGGTAGATAGTAGTTGTAAATTAGTTACTGCCCATCCCTTCATTGGAGTTAGTTCACATTATTGCACTTTAGGGTAGTAATAATATACTGTGCCTCATTGGTGCAAATGCATTTGAAGCAAACTGTTTTTAGTTTGTGTTAAGATGTGCTAAATATGCTCTATTTCATTGCAGGAGCACCCAACCAAAGACTTACCATCTTTTTTCACCACGCCATGATGTCCAGATCAAAGAGAAAAAAAATCTGCACATGCCAAAAGAGAGAGGGCAACTAAATGATTTCTAGAACAATTTTATCAGATTGTCACTTGACTCCTTTCATGTATAATCTGAATTTGTTTTTAGAAATAAAATAAATCTGACAACGTGCATGTTCAAATCATTTGTTCCATTCAGCACAACTTGGCCTAGCAGCAGGCTAAGCAGAGTAGTCCAGACATCCTCTCTGATATATACAGTATAATCCCTCCAGCAGAAGCAAGAGAGGTGGCTTCTGGTGGCAGCACCTGCCGTTCCGTGGTCTGTTCTTTGAAGACTGAGATAACCGTGGCTACGGTTATCTCAGAAATCTTGGGAAAAAACTTGGGAAAACTTTGTAAATGCACCATAACCATCATGCACCATCCATGCCAACCACTCCACAGAGTCAGCAAACTGTAGATTAGTAAAGGCAAATGCTTACTGGATAAGAGTTCCTGGTTTGATGCTGTCTTTCTAGACTTACATATTGGCATTTGATACCGTTGACAAACAGGTTCTTACATTTACTAAATCATGTCACTCACTGAATATAAAAAAAAACAGTGTATATGTTTACAAAACAACCAGTATAGGTTACTCATTATGATCCTGAGAGGTGTCAAACACTGATTTAAGCAAATCAGGCCATTTCTGACAGTTAATGCTGCACAATGTTTTTGCACTCTATGATTTTCTCAAACACCAAGTAGTTTTTCACTAATTGGTCACTTACATGTCTAATGATACTTAAATCGATCACACAGTGTTACATTTACAAAAAATACCTCCTTTAAATTAATTCATTACACAGAGGCCCATACTGTCCCTGTGCCCACCATATCATACTTTTAATCCCCATCTCAAACAGTGGCTTAATGCAAACCAGAACTATGATCACTCTTAACTTGAAATGTTGAACAATGTATTCATTGTTCACAATGTACCCATTTTTTGGCTCCAATTATCAGGGTATCCTACTGGTCAACTTTATTCCAGGGTGATAGAAGAGAGACTCGACCCGTTGTCTAACCTCAGATCCAGGAAGAGCAATGCTGACTACGTCCTGGCTGAGGAACAGTAAGCCAGCTCTTTACTCTTGCAGGGTTGCTGAGGATGTCATGGGTTCCTGGGTTTGCCAATCCAGTCTACAGTCCCCTCCAAACATACTGGAACATAAGGCAAAGTCCTTTGTTTTTGTTGTTCACTGAAGACATTTGGGTTTAAGATCAAAAGATGAGTCTGAGACAAGAGTTCAGAATTTCAGCTCTCATTTCGTGGTATTCACATCTAGATGTGTTAAACAACTCAGGACAAACCACCGTTTGTATTAGACCACAGCATTCTTAGGTGAGCAAAAGTATTGGAACATTTAATATTTGGTATAACCCTTGCTTGCAATACTGCCTCAAACCTGCGACCCATCGACATCACCAAACTGTTGCATTCTTCATTTGTGACGCTATTCCAGGCTTTTACCGCAGCTTCTTTCAGTTCTTGTTTTTTTCGGGGTGTTTCTCCCTTCAGTCTCCTCTTAAGGAGGTGAAATGCAGCTCTACTGGGTTAAGGTCAGCTGATTGACTTGGCCAGTCTAAAAACTTCCTCCCCATTAGTTTCAATGCATTTCGAACGAAAAGATTCTAATCGAAGATTGTGATACCTTCACCCTGCACTGTGGAGGTCGTTGCTGATGTCACTTCCTGATGTATTGGGGTTTTATTTTCACAGCTCTCACCATATTTCTGTCATCAACTACTGTTGTTTTCCTTGGCCGACCTGTTGGACGTCTTGTTGCTCAGTACACCAGTAGTTTCTTTCTTTTTCAGGACATTCCAAATTGTTGTGTTTAATGTTTGTCCAATGTTCTGGTCGATAGTCCTTCTTTTCTCAGCTTGACAATGGTTCTTTTCTCCCACAGACAGCTCTCTGGTCTTCATGTTGGTTTATCCTCTTTAAAAGGACATGCAGTCTTTATAGGTTTGAACCAAGGATGAAAACTAGACTAGTCATGCAGAGCTATTTAATGTTTGGACAATTAACCTAAAAGGCAACACCTGGGCAACAAGGAACATCTGTCAGTCACATGTTCCAATAGTTTTGCTCACTTGAAAAATGGGTGGGTTCAAACAAACGGTGATATGTCCTCAGTTGTTTAACACGTCTAGATGTGAATACCACAAATGAGAGCTGAAATTCTGAACTCTTGTCTCAGACTCATCTTTTGATCTTAAACCCAAATGTCTTCAGTGAACAATAAAAAAATAGGAATTTGCCTTACCGTTCCAGTACTTTTGGAGGGGACTGTACATGTGTTTTGTGCCACCTAGGAGGTCCTGTAGGGGGTACTGGGGCCATTGCTATAAGCCATGCTAGTGAGAGCTGTGTCCATATTCTCTGCACAAGTCAAATGTGTTTTTGGTGGGTGTTGAACTCCGCCAGGGTTGTCCCATTTCACAGATTGTTTGAGATTTTGATGGGCAGGATCTTAAGGTGCAGACTGGGGGAAGAGAATTGCACCTTCAGAGTAAATGCAACACATATAAGACATTCACTTAGGGCAGTATCTACAATTGAGGACACCAGGGTCATGTCTTCCACATTGTTTCTGGGAATATGGGTGCAGTTAATTAACACTTAACATGGTAGGGTTTGAAGCCTGATTCTGAAACCTTTTACACTCAACTTCAACGGTTTTAGGCAAACATTATATTTAAGTTAAGTAAATGTTTTTCTCCACCAGCATTATATTCCTGTGGTGACACCTGCATGTAGGAAGAGCCTAATATTTACAGAAAACATAATACTTCAGTTGAATGAATAAATAAATGTGACAAAAAATATAAGGAAGTTTTATAGACTCATTTTGGGACATACTCAAAAATGTCTTCAGGGTGATGGGGTTGCACAGGGAGTGAAAAAGGTACTATACATCTGAACTTACATTTACCACAAGTTTTTCAGATCAAGGAGGCCTTTCCCATCTGACATCAAGAGCATCTTTGAATAAAAACAATGGTTATGATTTAAATTTCCAAGGGTAAAACCATGCTTAAGCTGCTGTGAGGGTTTGCCATTCGTCTGACAGATGCTGAGTGTAGTTCCAGCAGCAGCCACAGAGAGGCACCACACACACAACAGAACTGGTCAGGGTAAATCAAAAAGGGATTACTGTCTGATCCCTGCATGAAATCTAAACTCCACATGGCATAGCTATAATAGTCAGAATTGTATGACATCTTTCTTTGGACCTCCACAGAGCTCTATGGATCACTATTTATCGATTTTGTCTTCAACTGTTTTGTATAGTACACAGAATAATGTGGTTTATTTTTGGTACTGTATAGCAAAGATCACATTCCATGTTCAAAATGTGCAACTCAACATTTTTATAAATTAACCTGATGTTGTAGATGTTGGGTGATTTTAAATAAAAGGCAGAACTGCCTTTGAAAAGAACATTCAAGTCTTAATAGGATGATACCTATTTGAGTATAGAGTCTACCCTACAGACATGTCCAAATATACATCTTTAATTGCATAAAAAAAAAAAAAAAGATCTACTCTTTTGTTTGGTCAACCATTACAGTCAGTCACTTATTGAGACCCAAAAACAAGACAAAAATCAGTTCAAGTCAAGCATCATTTTTATTAGGAGATACTCAAACACAACAGTATGATGACACATGATTCACTCTCAACTGGAAGGCTGTGAAGCATGGGCTAACTCATAGTTTCATAAATGTATGTGTCATGCATACAGTGGCCTTCTCACATTGTGCTTCCTTTAAGCAGAAGTTTGAAAAAAAAAAAAAAGTGACAATAATTTGTTTTCAGTATAGTTTGACCTGTGGGGTATTTCACAAAGCAGGACTACTTACTATTTAACACAAACTCTCAATTGCAATGTTTCAATGAAAAAAAAAAAAATGATTGCAATTTATGCGGCCAAATCTTTCATCCAACATAATATCCCACATAGTGTTGAAATCCAACTGCTTCTCAATCAAAGTGGTTCATATAAAACCAAAAGGAAACCAAAAACCCAACAAACGCAAACATTGTCATTATGATTGTCTTTTGATATTTTAAAACAATATTACACTATGGACATCATTTTGAGTCTGAATAACTCAAAAATGACATGACAACAATATCTATGCAAGTTCTCCCTGCCGATCAAATTACTTTAGTTTTCAGATGTCTGACAGTTCTGTCAGGATTTGGTATTTCTAGGCCCTCAGAGCTTGTGCAGCTCATTAATTCCCAAACCTGATTGCTAATAAGGTCAGATTTGGGTTTAAATTACTGTTCTTAGTTATTCAGGTTGGGGCTCACAGGAACCTTTTTATATGAAAATACCACAATGTTCAAACGTGAACAGGCATTTAAAGCTGCACTAACCAATATTTTTCTATAGTAACAATGAAAGAACTGTGTGTAATGTGGAAGTGGTCATTCGTTGTGCCACACCCGCAGAGAATTTTCACCCAGCTCTGCAGTTCTAAGCTCTGCAGAACTTTAAGTCAATTTTGGATAGTCGTTTTGGTTTCCTTGCCTGCAAAATCAATCAATTATTTCAGCTTTAAATCAGAATTTGAAGAAAGCCGATGTTATTTACGCAATATCACAGTTCTTTTCTACCACAAGTAGGCTAAACACTTGTCGATATATATCACATTAATTGTAATTATTGACAGCTCAAAAAATGAACCAGCAGATGTCATTGTTGTAGTATTCAACTTTAACTGACTATTTCCACCAACAAGCTAGGACTTGCTAGCACTCCTCATTAAATCTTTTCTGGACACCACTGTCTTAACTAATGTGTGCTTAGTTAACAGGAATGGATACTATAGACATCACAGCATAAATGGCTGGCTGCACTCTTGCATATTTACTCTTCAGTTCCATACTGACTCTAACTCACACTATAAAATTATTTGAGATTGCCTTTTGCAAGTAAACAGGCATAGGATGCTTCAGCAATATACCACACACACACACACACACACACACACACGAAAATAGTCTGACACATAATGTTACATATGTACCACACAAACACGGGTAGATTATACATGAACTTATAAATGCTGCCTCCAAAAACTATAAACCTTTTTAGAGCCACTTCACCCTCTAGACGAGCGCACACACACACACACACACACAGTCCCAATTATCTCGACGCACACTGATGCACAAATGTGCTGACAGCTTATCAAAGTCAGGCTTAGAATTCAGGTGCCATGAAATTAAAGCATAACCCAGAAGTCCTTTCAGTGCATAAAAGGATCCACGCAGAGGAGCAAAAAGAAGAAATAAAAACAATGTATTAGGTGGCAGAAATGGAAGACAGAGTAGAAGAAGAAAGAGTTTTAAGACTTAAAAAAAACCCAGAAACCATGTAATGTAGTGTCAACGACAAAAAACCCCAACAACTACATTTTGCTTCTTTTGCAGAGGCCTGTTTGGATTTTGCTGTTATTTCTTGTGAGCTCACATTTCCCTTTAATGTCCACACACAAAACCAGAATTTAATTCAAACAGATGACAAGTAAAAATCTTGTCTAATACAGCTTTAAGTTTGAGTCAGAGACAGACGCAAAAATAGGGAAGGAGAACAAAGCAGGCCAGGAAGGAAACAGAGCGAGACACTTCATGCATCCACTCTACATGCTTTCAGAGAGGCCTCTGTTTGTCCCACGTTTGACTTGAAGCCAGTGCAGGTCAAAGCAAGGCAGCTTTAACACATTTATAACTCTATGATATGATAATGACATATATAATAACAGCAAGAAAATCCCTTTCGGCTCAGGATCACCCAACAAGCGTGACAGAGCTCCTTAAGGCATCTAAACTTGTTCCTCAACCTGTCTCCTCTACGTCCCTGCTGACCAACACTGTGTGCTCATCATCAGCCCTGCAGTCCAACACAACAAACACAAATATACAATCCAATTCTCAGGAAAGTTCTGGAGTTACAATGAGTCTACAGGGAGGGTCTGTTTTCTATGATATTGGGTTTTTTTCACATGAGAATACATGTGTTTGTTTTTTTAAACTAACTACACTAAAGGTGGGGGGGGGGGGGACATATAATATTTAAAAAGTGATAATGTGTAAACCAACCTAAAAAACAGCTGCTTTTGCATATCTAGAGCTCAACTAGAAAGAATATACTTTTTAATTCAACCAAAATGAGCTTCTAGCCCGAAGAGGATCAGCATGCAGCAAACAACTTGATACTATATCTTCCAGGACAACGGTAGCCTCAATAAATATTTGAGTCTAATATTCAAACACTGCTAAATATTTACATTTCTACTGTAGATACTCACAGCTCTGTGGCAGCAGGTTATTTCTTAGAGTAGTAATGCTTATAGAGCCAAAGTTGAAATAAGTGGCACCAGACTCTCTTATTTATCCATAAATGTACATTATAATTTAAATTTCCAGCCATCAATAGAAAAACCTGCTTTGCCCTTTTCTATGTAAACTCCATACACAACTAATTACCTAATAACATACAGTAACATTAATACACACCAAACATTTGTACTGTTCCTAGATTCATAATCAATCCCATCATCCAGTTTGTGACACAAGATGACAAATGAACTAATGAATGAACCGGCTATAAACTGATCATGTTGCAGTGCATTTAACAATGGCAGTGTCGCTTTAAATAGAGGATTCGGTGGATGTTAATAAAGTCTGCAGCATGACACAAAAGTCATGTGCCTCTGGGTTTCTCTGTTACTTCTGTCTCAAAACAGGAATAATGATGACTATAATGGCCGGACGGAGCCAAGTTAAGATTAGTTTAGGTGTGGAAGACCACATGCTGTATGCATGTGTGAGAATAAAAACCCTCAATCTGTAAAAAATGGAATATTTCATTTGCGTAATTTGTATCAGTTTGTTAGGTAAGGATTCACTACTTGATATCTGTACAACAATGTGGTCGGTCATTTGTTGCTATTCCGATAGTAACGGTAAGTTAGCAACTTTGTGGAGATTTGTGGATCTCTCACTTACAACTGAACCCAAATGGGCATTGAGTGTAAGAATGAATGTATTTGAATGAATAATTACTTTGGTTTAAATGAAGCTATTTTCCCCATAATAAGTACCAAGTGATATTGTTCTTTCAAAATAACTTTCTGAGATAATTATTACGAAATCTCGGACCTGTAAAATAAAGCGTTACATTTCTAATCACATTGACTGAGACTTCAATTAGTAGGAACTGCTGAGTTACACAGCATCCCAGCAAGTCACCTCATTTTCAGACTTCACCTCATCACAGCAGATTCTACACACACTCCCTAACACAGCGCCTCTAATTATTCAAGTCTACACTCTCGCACAGGATCTCAAAACCATGTAAAGAACACAACTTACATACACTCTTTTTTGTCATGCATCATAAAACACAAACAAAGGGAGTTCCCTGTACAATGTCCTGAAAGCCACAGAATGTACAGCCCAAATTCTTTATTTGATAAGGTACAGTAAACCTGTGGTAAGTTTATTTTTGCAGGGGACCTAGTCAATAATCATACGGCAATACTGCTACACAAAACTGGGCAAGCAGCTGAACTATAGATACAGAAGATAGCATAAATGAAAATCCAGGACAAATCAAACTTCAAATGGCTTAAAGGAATACCTTGAGATTATCAAAGATGAATTTTCTGCACCAGGTCCTTGATAAACTGTGATGAGGAAGAAGAAAATGTGTTCTTTAGTTTTTAATTCAAGGACCACTGGTTACAAGTAACTAACAACACTGACCATCGTACCACAGACTGCTCATTTAAAAGTGCTGTATAGTCAAGTGGTTAGAGTCTACTTCAAGTTTCAAATGGATTTTATTTTGGCCAGTGATGCTGTGGAAACTTTAGAATTGACATTGAAGACGCATTCCAATAACGTTTGTAGAAAAATAGTTTTTTGTTGTACTTCAGATCAGACAAAACTGCAACCTTTCCTCTGACTCTGAACATATTTTCTAACAGGGGAAAGAGTAACACATTATTTGATAAAAATAGTTCTCAGGCAGAGGAAGATTTATGTCCATAAGCTTACAATATTTTCTTATTTTATATGAATAACAATTTGTCTCACATGCTCAAATCACAGTACCCATTTACACAGTGTGGGGTTTGACATTTGTGCTCTTTCTAACATGAGTGAACCAGTTCCAGTTCTAGCAGCTCTTCAAACACCAGACTTTAAAGCAAGACTATGAAACTTTTAGAGAAGAAATTACAATGTATTCCTCTTTCAAATGTAAGGTTGAATCCATGAGCAGTAAGCTCAGTTCAGTACACTAGGGGTTTTGCTGCTACAGCAGTGTACACTGTCGTGCACGACCAGTAGCTTATGGTGGCTAATGTTAGCTAGTATTAGCAAACTATTAATTATGCATGTAAAACAGTTTGCTAACTTTATGACTCTTCTACAATTGTGCGACTGTTACAAGTACATAGCATTTTAGCTAAATGGTTAACAACACTGAAGTGCTAAATAGTAGTTTATGCTTAACCATAAACCTTTTTAGCATTTCGCAGTTTAGCATTTAGCCAACACCATCAGTTTAGCAGTAACTGTAGCTAATACCAGTGTTGGCAAAATACCATTACTGTCACAGGTCACAAATGGTCTCTGTTCAGTAAAAGTTACACAGTCTGGCTTTAACCAGATGAGCAATGAGTAGCTATACAAAAAAAATGAAACAAATCTCTGCTCATTGTCTCTAACAAAGACTGGTTTGGTTACTTGGCCAGACTACATTTGCTGGAAGGGAATAATTCTCTAAGGCATCTGCAATGGCTTGGGCTACATAATGAACGACACATGCAGGTGTAGCCAACCTGCTGTTATAGCAGCATTTTGGTTAGTTAGCTAGTTTGAATGTCATAGGGCACTTATGTAGAAATCATCTAATGTTTCAGTGTGACAGAGTGGATTTTTGAACCAAGAGAATAAGAACCCAGAAAACAAAAGAATATCTGGTTCTACAACAAAAAGTACATTCCACTGTAAAAATACCAAGCTTGCTGACTGTCGCTGCTATCAAACGTAATTCTTCCTGGACTGTCTTATTGTCTTGATTGTCCAATTTAACTTTATAATACATTAATTATATAATATATTTGGCTCTACAAGACTGCACATTTTGAGACATTTCTGTCACATTTTTGATTCATAAATCAAAATACCTTGTCACAAAATTAGGAAACATGGGCAGTATTTTGGGAACTCCAAAAACAGACACTTTGGCCATATCGTGCTACAATGTTAGGCTTGCAGTCTGGCCATCAATCCACTGGTTCGCATGCAAACTAACTGAAAGACTCATTGAACATTGTAGGACAATTATCTGTCTAATCTGTCTAGTTAGCACAGTCAGTATTCACCTTGCATTGTCAATGCAAAAATTTGCAAAAGCAACCTGCAAAACAACCTAAGCCATGAAAGACGCTATAAATGTTCATCACACAGTGGCTTTAAACTACTCCTGTGAATGTACACAGGCTACTGTATCTGCATTTTCAATAATAATAACTCAAATTACACAGTGACTATGAAGTAAAATTAAGTGTACTTGGCTTTAGTTACTTAGTTACAAGACATTTCTGCTGCTGCTATTTTTGTTCATAGACTCATTTTGCAACTGGAAAAAGGTTTTTGGACAATTGAGATTTTTTTTATATGTTTGTACTTTTCTAACCAAGCAAGCCAGATGAACCCTCCTATGATTTTCAGCATGTACTCATAAACATTTACTTGTTCGTGTGCCATTTCAGTGTTGCAGTCAAAACACAAAACTCCCTCTACGTCATGATAAACGGGAGCATAGTAAACTGGTGAATAAAATATCCTCTGAGTATGTAGACTTTTGTAAATAAAGAGCTACAGAGCATAAGGCTACAGGACACTGTGAGACCTTAGCATGCTCAGATAATGGCAGAGAGTGAGTGAGTGAGTGACAACTACCAGCTGGTGGAGGCGTCACCCCAAACCATCTGTCCCTGATTATTACCTGAGGAGCCAGCAGAGGATACCTGTATATCCCCTTGTACCATGCCATTTCCTCTCATTAAAATTCAAAGTAACAAAAACAAACAGGCAACAATAATATAATACTTATTATTACTTATTTAACAACAGGATAGGACACTAATTTCACCACAGGAAACCTTCAGCTGAGAGCAGTAAAGAGACTCTCGTTCAGTGTCCTGCTACATGTTTCTGATCACATCCCTGACTCAACTGATGAGATCTAATCATCTATCTAGAGAGATGCAACTATTTAGATGTTATGTAGAGCATAGACTCAAACTTTACACTATCATTTGATAAAGGCTTTTGCTGTAGCAACTTTTCTTGTCCCAATTACACATTCTTTCTGTGTGGTAATTTCTATGAACGAATGGGAGTGAAAATGGAAGTCAGAACAGGAACTGTGGTACCCACACCACAGACCCCCGGCCTGGACTTATTACACGAGATAGATACAGGTCAACTTGAAACACAAGGATGTGAACTGTTAATAGTGCACAGACTGGAGGCAGCAGAAATAAAGTGTTGCCGTTTCCCCCTCCCAGCCGAGTTCAATTTACACTCTGCACAGATTTACACACGGATAATGTGCAGAACTTTCAACTATTCAACTGATTAATAACAGAATCATCTGAACTCAAACTGCAGGGCAACCACGCATGACTGTGTGTTGGCTGTATATTCATAGGGAAAACATGACTCCTCCCCTGTGGTGCTCTATGCAGTTGTGTTTTTTAATGCGAACAGTGCAGAGGTGTAAATTGAGCATAAGCACTTCACTGCACAGTCTGGTACAAGTAACCTCTTTTATAGGCGCTGAGAGGGTAGAAGGTGGCCACAACAAACTTCCCATCAAAGGTGCGGCCTGTCAGCAGCCTTTGAGCCTCTTTGGAGTCGCTGGAGTTGGCATACTCTACAAAGACCTGGTGGACACACAAAGGACGTGGATGAATGAGTAAGTGAAAGACTGAATTTGTGCTCAACCCTGGATGTTCACTAGATGCGGCTGTGGCTTTGTTTCAGATCATAGTCCACCAGAATGAGTGTTTTATTTTCAAGCGGTCTCTTCAAGCAGCCACATTGGTTTGTTTTGTTTACTTTTTTGTGTTTAACAAGCATATTAAAAATCAATTTGCAGCTCGTTTAGATGTGTTAACAGTACGGTTGTGACGAGACAACATTTTAAGAAATCTTTAATGCCAAATTTTGAACATTAAACAGTTTATTTGCTGCATTCTGGTGATTTTTTCTGCACCAGTTTATGACGGAAATGTTTTTATTTACATAAAGGCAAACACAAAATGCAGGCGCCACGTGACAATTCAAAATATAAAAATGTAACAATATAATGGAGCAAGGATGTCAGGCATTCTGTGTTGCTTTCAGATACGTTTCTCCTGTAGGCCAACTTTTCTCATGTAATATTATCCCTGCTGAATCAACACACACACACACACAGGCATGATCTCGTGATCCAAGATCTCGTCACATCCCTAGTTAACAATGTGGCTGTACTTTACATGTTTTACTGACCGCGCTGATCGCATTGATGTGTCGTCTCTGCATCTCTTTCCTGAATTGTGTGTATTAGCAGCAGGAAACTGCAGTTGAGAAAATGTCAATAACAAATTAAATGTGTCATTAAATATTAATTTTAAGACATTTATCAGTCAATATAGGGATTTATATAGCATTATATATATATATTATATATTCAGAGGGGAATAGAAGTGGATAATCTCCAGGACTAGTGACAAAGCTGGAGTGTGATGCAGCTGCACACAGTGGACATGGGGGAAGTGAGTAAAGGATAAAACACTGTATCAGTGTAGTACTGTAAGGGTAGTTCTACTACTGAAGTCAATTAACAGAACTCCACAGAATAAAACTGCTAAAATCACCTCTCTCTTTCTATTCCACTTCAACACACAAAAAAAATGTATATTGCCGTCTTTTCCTCATTTCCTCATCATTTTTCAATTTTGGTGTGCTGCTACCCAATGGAGTGTCAACATCTGTAACACAGTTTTCTGTGATTAAAATAGCTGTGAAATAAATGTCATTTCTTACATTGTGAACTCCCAGAAACTCCTAACTTTTTCAGTTTAGATGAAACATTTTTGAAGATTCCTGGTTTAAGGAACAAAAATCTAACCTGTCCTTTCCCTGGGTTCTCCTTGGGGATGAGCAGAGAAACCACTGAGCCGTACTTCTGGCACTCCTCTTTCATGTCCTCCAGGATGTCTGGGAGAAACAATGACATGCATTTTTACTTAAATTAACCTCTACACACAGAAATTCATAATTAAAAGACAAAAAAAAATATGAAATAAATACAGCGTTGTACCTTCATACTCTTCTTCATTGTGCAGATGGCTGTCATCAATGAGGTTGAGCAGACGCAGGACAGGAGAGGGCAGCAGAACCAGGTCCTCAATGTGAGGAGCTGACACACACACACACAAACACACACACACACACATACGTAAATATGGTACACTGAGCGATGTGTTCATTTCAAATTTGGTCACATACCAAAAGGAATACTGAAGAATGGGCTCAGGAGGGCGGTTTCAGCTGTGCATCTCTGCTTTGGGTCATTGAGAAGCATGCTGCAGACACAAAGTAACAAAGGTCCAATGTAACTCAATTAATTACTTACAACAGAGTATATAGCAGAGCAGTCAGACCCCAACAATCTGAACTACACTGAATTCACAACTGTATGTGTGAGAACGTACCTTTTGATAAGGTCTCTGAGGTGGTAGACAGGGATGGCAGGGCACACCAGACTGTTGCTGGCAAAGATATGGTCTACAATGGCGGCACTGTTATCCTAAAGTAGAGGTAAACAGATTAAAGGATTTTGTTTCCTTTTGCTAGAAGGGTTCTGCGCTAATACAAACATATTAAGTCCTGTTACAGACATATTTCCTCTTACTTTAAATTTAATTACCTTCTTAAACCTGCAAACATTTCACCTGCAAGATTTTGAATTCAGCAATCAATCATGTTTACTGACAGAAGTCCCCTAATTGTATTGTCTATTCTTCCTTTAATCACCAGCTTCTGAACATTTCTAAACATCTTGCTCAGTCCCCAGTCAAAAATGAAACTTTTCTGTGCATTTACACATTTTGAGACCTTCAGATTCCATTAAATCAATATCAGCTAACTCTACCCCGAGTAGAGATTTGTCATACCTTCCACTCCTGTGATCGGACGGTGTCTTTAAGTTTGATTCCTGAGAACATCTCCAACAGGATGATGCCCAGGCTCCACAGGTCCACGGCGGCAGTGCAGCCCGAGTCTCCCTCCACCTCCACCCCAGCCTGAGCGAGGCTGTTCTGAAACTCAGCCTCTGGAGCGCGATACCCGTCTGTCTGGATGTACTTGACATCCTGGGAGGAGGCAATGCAAGAAGAGTTAGGAATACAATACATAATTATCCCAGCTCCTCTTTTACTGACCTTCAAAATTCCCACACACACCCACCTGGTTTCCCTCTTTGAAGCTGAGGCCGAAGTCGATGAGCTTGAAGCACTCGTCATCAGCGCTCCAGAGAATGTTGCGTGGCTTGAGGTCAGCATGGACGTAGCCTTCTCTATGAAGGAAGGCGAGAGCCTCCAGGATGTCTCTGGCACAGTGTTGGACAAGCCACATGGAGTGGCCCTGCTGGGGTCTGCCAAAACAAATCACACTATGAAGTTAAACAGAAAAGTTCAAACTCTGCTAAACATATGAAGGCTTTACAGTGACTGCAGTCACCATCATTCATTATATTACATTATATTACACTGACAGACGAACATTCTGGGGCAAATACCAAATGCTTGGAATTTTTGAAAGCCTGGTCAAGTTTAAAGGGTCAATTCACCCGAATTAAAACAAGACAAGGTCAAAACCTAGCATCTGGCTGGACCGTGGATGGCTGAAATGCTAAATTGTTGCACGGATAGTCAGTGGTACTATCTATAATGTGAATTAGCATCCACAAAAAGCAGAATATTCCATTCTTAGCATGTGACAAGCAGATGTCAATGACTGGAACCTTCCTTTGTGCAGGTTATAATTTTAGAGAGGTGCTGATTCAGCATGTGTGATCATTTTGGAGGCTGCAGTTCGGGGGGTGCTCTGTTGGACTCACAGGTGTTTCAATTTTTTTGTCCATCCCATATTTATCAGTGAGGGTAGGCCAAAGAACAGAAACACCTCTCTGCAACCTGCCACAGTCAGAGTTATACCGTATGAGAAGCAGCGACATCACTTCACTTACCTACCACCCTGGGTACCACCGCTGCCTCTCACCAACAGCTCGGACACACTGACATCCAAGAGCTCGAGCAGAAGACAGCGCGTGGCAACACCCATACAGCTGTGGTTGGTGAACACCCCGTACAGCGTCACTGAGAGGAGAACAAATCCGTCAGTGCAAACGGCTAGACATGTGCAGCTGCATTTATATCCTGTTTAAGAAAATGGCAATATGACCTTCCTAGCAGACAAAACCATGACCTTCAGTATAACAGTAGTGACATTATAATATGATCATCATAGTCTCAGTATTTGAACGTTTTTCAATAGGTTTAGAGAGCTAACTAATGCCAGCCACGCTTATTTTGCAGAACGACACAGTGACAAATGTTAAAGCCTGAAAAGCACGTTTCACTGAAAGCAGAGCCTGTTTCATGGGCCATCTTAAGCAGAATTAAAAAAGCAGACCATGTCTATTTGTAAATGCTCTTACAGAATACTCTAGCAGGTGTATACCACTGATGACAAGCACGCTCCTATTAGAATGATCGATTTTTGTGTGGAATTTGGCTGTTTGCTCTATTTATAGACACAAGAAACACATAAGGGTTTGAAAACAGTAGCCAGTATCATAGACCCCGTCATGAAGCTTTTCGATCTGTTATAGAAAGGCTCATAGTGAGTCATTACATAATGTTCCTTGTCAGAACAGGTTTTGCTGACAGACTTTATACAGGAGGCAGCCTGAGAACATTATTACCTTACGTTAGGGATCTACATGTTTTCCCCGCTGAGGAAAATAAGGTTGTTACCGATGTTTTTATGTCCCTGGATGTCTTCCAGCACGGACCTCTCCTTGCGATACCCGTAGTCTCCTCCCTGAGTGTCGGCCTGAAACTCCTTGACAGCGGCGGTGGTGGCTCTGCCTGAGCTGACCCGGTACACCGAGGCCGAGACTCCCTGGCCGAGTCGCGACTGGACGGTCCATATTTCGCCGAAGACCTCGAACAGAACCGGCTTCATGCTCTGGTCTACGCTACCCTGCGACGGCATGGCGCTGTCCGGACGAGGTACCTGAACCTTTGAGCTGGACTCGGAGGAGCCGCAGTGAGCCATCGGACAACTGCGGACGGGGGACAGCAGGAGATGATCCAGCTAGTTCACAGGTGGGAGCAGCTGCAGGAGCATTGCAAACCGGGCTCTCTCAGCGCCACAGAAAACCCAGCAGGACGTGTCAACGAAAGCTAGCAGACAATCCAGCTACACCGGCAACCTTGTTAATATTAAGCACGCAGTAATACCTGGGCATATTACACTGCTGGGTCAGCTGACAAAAAGTTAGCTAACTAAGCTGCTCCAAATGGCTAAACTAGCCACTGACTTTGAGCACAAAACTTCCACCGAAACAGAAAAATGCTTCCCCCATAATGTGCCACATATTATTACCGCATCTGTATCGGAAAATAACTTAAAGAAAGTTTATCAGTTGTAACTGCAGTAAAGTTTTGCCTGAGTCGTAACTCAGGTTGTTGATCAGTCTGACTTCCGTTTCGGCTTTTCTCCCTGCAGATTTGCGGTGCAGCTTTTCCTGCAGTCTGCCCCCTCCCGGTAAGGAGTGGCCCTAAATATTTTTTTCCTTCCCTTTAAAGGTTGTTTCCATCAAAACGTCAAATTGTATATACATTTCAGGCTACCTGGCTACTGGAAAGAGGCTCAGTGAACCCTCCTATGGAATTTGACCTCTGACCTAGTGTTAGGGGGAGTAGTGATTAGTGTTTATGAAGGGACTGAACCCTTCTATGGTGTCTAACAGATGTTTACACTTATCCTACAGCACTGTGCCCTTAAATGGTATTTAGCAGATACCTAAACATGTCCTATATAAGCTGTGTTTGATGTACAGAGAGACAGAGTGGTTATCGGGCTGGGTCACTCTCCAAGCTGCTGCAGAGCTTGTAATTGATGCTGAACTCCTTGATGTAATAAACTTTTATGATCAAGAACAGTGTCAAGCGGGTTTCTTCTCAACACATCATTGCAGCATTATTGTTCGGACACCACATCTTCAAGTCAAATCCCGCTTGAGAAAGCCATAAAAAACACAAACTTCTGGTTTTCTATCTGCAGTTCCAACTCTCCAGTTATGTATGTAAATCTAGCTTATGTGTCTGTGGTTACACATTTACTAATCCTTTGTTTTTTTAATTTCTTTTTAATTTAGATTAGTAAATGTTAGAAAGTTCAAAATTGTCTTTCCACTGAGTCTGTGTTTATACAGCTTAAACAAAAACTTGGATAACTTAGGCAAATTCAGACATAAAAAAACTTCCAAGGACAATATGAAAACTTTTTCAGCATAGACAAAAATTATTAAGCAATAGCCCGCCCTGGAGCCTGGTGTGGACATATGGAAACTTACTGGCGCTTCCATCAGATAACAAAAAAAGGCTTATCTTCAGCACAGAATTCTCCAATTCCTGCCTGCCTATAACTAAGTAGGGTTTTATATTGAAATGTGACTTTATTGTATGGAGAGAATATTTCAGCTATTGTGAAATTAACTGCCGGAAGTTTCCTATTTTAAAATGTCTCATTGCTTCAAAAATACATTTATAAACTTTATTAGAGCCAACAGTAACACCAGATTCAGACAAAACATGAACGGAGTCAAAACCGAATGATATTGTTACCGCAGATGGGCCAAGTATTATCACCGGAAATAGCAGAATCATCCTCCCGGAAAGGGAAATATCATCAAAATGAAGTGGTGTTTTTGAACATTTGGGAGAAAACAACATTCGTGTTTCCTTGTCCCGCTTAGGAGGAGGATTAGAAGAAGTCATTGCTGGAAGACGCAGGTTTTAAAATCTTGAAACAGTAAGTTTGGTGACGTAAACAGACGGTTGAGCCGCTGCTGATTCGCTAATATTCTGTAAGTTCACAGCCGAGCGGAACCGAACATGCAGTCATTTAAATGTCAGGTTCTAAAGCAGATGTTCCGTCGCTTATGCTTTGACACAGGCAAGCGGGTAAGTTGCTCACTGGGAAAAATTGCTTAGCTTGAACACCGAAAAGCGGGGAGTTACGTAAAGTCAAGCGTAAGAGTTATTTTCAGGAGAAGCTAAAGCTAGCCGACGGTGACTTGCCAGTTTTGTTTGCAGATGGCTGGGTGGCCAACGAGCGAACCTACACAGTGACCTGCTATCCGCGTTGTCTTAATGAAGAGTCTTACTAGTTATTAGTTAGAAGCGTAATTTCTACACGTTGCATCACCCATTGCTTGCTGACGTGTGCTACATATTAATGCAAACGGGAATGCGAACCCGTGGACGGGTTTTCATGGGATATTTTTGGAAAGATTTGGAAAACCATTGGTGCTTCGCATCACTTGTGGTTGTGGTTCATAACAAGCCAACATTTCAATTTCGCCCTGCATTCTGTTTTTTAATTTTATTTAGAACTTTGACATCAGGTAAGTGCTGTACAAATAAACGTGACCTCTGTTCCACATACGCGCATCAGAACATTGCATAATTGAGAGGAAAGTAAATAGGCAAAAATAACAGAAGGAAAAAATGGTTTAGTGCAGATACAGTGCTGTAGAAATAAGTTAATCCAGATGGGGTTATAATAATAATAAGCTTTATTTATATAGCACTTATCAAACAGAGTACAAAGTGCTTCACAACAAATCACACATAAAATGCAAAAACAAACAACCAAGATACAGGGGGGTAAAATACAGAATATAAGAACAAGGATCACAATAGAGTATAACAAATATGTTCAGTAGGACATAAGGAAGATGAAACAAAGTGATAAGAAGGATAGGGCAGGAACAGTAAAACCAGCGGCAGCTCAGATAAAATCTGGATATGCTTTCCTGTAAAAGTAAGTTTTTAAAAGAGATTTGGAGGAAGAAGCCGACCCTGCCCGGGTTAAGTGAATAATAGTGCAGCAGAGACATGAATCAGTTAAAGGCACAAGAAAACAGAACTGTTTTAATTGAGTTTTAAGTTGAATTGTAACTGAAGAGGATGTAGTGAGTCACACACGTTATGCTTATTTTTGAAAGGCTTTTAAAACTTAATATTTTAACCTCTTCTGGACTCTTATAGTATTCTAACCAGCATGTCAGGCATGTATTTTGTTATTTGTTAACTATCGGTGTAAAGATTGAAGAACAGGGGGTAATGTGCAGAGTTCTCCGGTTCTTAGAACTGGCAGCAGCAGCATTCTGATTGTGCTGAAGATGTCTGTGGTCGTGTTGGCACAGTCAACAAAATACCAACTTGGGTTTTAGTCTTTATAGTTCTGGATTATGAAAAAACTTTGTGTTTTCTCTTTGTTGCCATATGCAATGATATCTGCCTTTATTTAATTAAAGGAAAGGAAACGACCCCTCTCCGTTTAGAGCCTGTCAGAGAGGGTGTTGTTACAGCATTTTGTGCCTTAAAAACAAGTTCAGTTTGGTGACCTTTTAGGGAAATGCAAGTCAGCACATCCTCCTTTTCCGTGGATGGTCAGGCCTGTAATGTTCTGACTCATTGTTCTGCAAAAAGAGGAGTCCTTTTTTGTACACAAGAGCAGAATGGACCTGGAGTTAATGTTTGTGGTTTTGTTCAATTTGAACAACAGAATAGACAAAATCTCACCACACTTTCATATTTCCACCAAATCGTTTAATGTTGTTACATTAGCGTCTCATGCAGCCGTCTCCTGATACAAGCGCTCCAGTTTTAGCTGTAAAGTTTAAACATGACTCATCATTAAATTGAGAAAGTCTGGTGTTTGGCCAATGCTTTATCACTTTGTGTAGGAATAACTCTCCATAATAAGGTTAGGAAGGTACCGTTTGCCAACTGTAATCCCTGCTTCTGTTAAGTTGGCTTTATGGCTGTTCATTCTGATCATTCTGTGTTGTTTGCTTCACAAGAAAGTGAGCTTGATATACTGCCTGGCCTTTCTTTGGATAAAACTTCTTAGATTGGGACAATCTCCTCTTTGAAACTGCATTTTGATGCTGGGGTAGTGTTTTAAACACTTTTTTCTGTAATATAGCAATGTGAATGATTGTAGAATAGATCTCAACAGTGCTGGAACTCATACTGAACCTCTCAATGGCCTTCGTCTCTTGCTGGGTTTTCTGTTGTGCTTCTGTAAATTGTCTGTACTTCTATTCGTTATCTAGTGTGCCTTTCATACTCTCTAGTTATCGTTCTATTTCTTCCACCTGCAATGTCGTTTCTGCTTTAAGAATTGATCTTGTTTTTTTCAGACCAACTTTTACATGGTAAAATCATACTGTGTGTTACTACAGCAATGAAGCTTATTCTGGATGTCTCTGGCTTTGCACAGTCATCCTTCTTGTATTTATTCACTTCATTCGTCAGTCCAGTTGAGCTTGTCAAACTGCTTATGTGGACTTCCTCGTGATGTATTTGGTGAAAAATAAATATCTCCGCTGTTGCAGTCTAAATAGTTTAATAATGGTAAAAAGAGGGGTGCATTTTTACATAAGATTCTTGCTACTGCAGCTTTAAACATCCGAGTAAGCCAAGCAGCTCCGCTCATTGACTGAATCATGCTCTCCTTGTCCTTTCTAAGGTGCTTCTGAGAGACATGAATGACTTTGCAGTTCTCAACACAGGGCGGAAGATGCCCCTCCTTGGACTGGGAACATGGAAGAGTGAGCCAGGAAAGGTAGAGGATGCACTTTTGCAAAATAAGCTGCTACTTTAAATGATTTCTCTCTTACAGATAAATGCCATAAAAGAGGCAATATCGCATACTGCTTTCTGTCTCTGCACATTTACTTCCACTTCCCTTCCTCCTCTATCCAAATTCAGAACTATATAGTAATTTCAGACATTAAAATGGCACTCATAATTTTCTATAAATAGTGAATCAAATGAGTTTGATTATCAGTAGCTTCTGCTAGCTCCCGTCAGCTCTGCAGAGCATTTTAGTTCAGTCTGACTGCTCTCATTAACAACGTTTCTAGCAGCAGCAGGCGGCTGTTTTCAGTGAAAGACAATGTTGATAAAACCCACTGCTCACTACCTGCACAGCACCGAGCAGCAGACAGCCAAAGTTGGCAGCCAGCTGGTGAACATAGTGGAGCATTAGCAGCAGAGCCAGATGTTTTTTTTTTCAGGAGAGAGCTAAAAGGAGAGTGGATATTTGTCAGATAGACAGACCAATTACTCTAATGAATGCTAATATTGCTCCGTAATGGCTGTATACATAAATAGGTGACTGTTTTAACATGTTCACCATATTAACTTTAAATGGCCATATGGTCAAAGAAATGATTGAATGCTGTTTTAAATACACGTTTGACACAGACCTTTTCATCTATGTTATGCGTTTTTTAGTATTTCCTCCTGTTTCCGGTTGAATGAATGTGAAAGACTGAATGTGTACTCGGCATCACCTTTCAACTGACTGTTTCATTTGAACAGCTGTCCTATTTTGCCGCTGTCACAGGTGAAACAAGCAGTTATTTGGGCCTTGGAGGCGGGGTATCGCCACATTGACTGTGCATCCATCTATGGCAACGAGTTTGAGATTGGTGAAGCCCTACAGGAGACACTCGGACCCAGCAAGGTAGACCACCCTCACCAAATGACAGTAGAAGCTCAAAGTATCCGCCAAATGTTTCCCATTCCATAACAAGACATTCGCCATAAACATTTGACCACGCTATATCTGACATGTTGTCATGCGCCAGGCCCTGAGACGAGAGGATGTGTTCATCACATCCAAGCTGTGGAACACGCACCATCACCCAGAGGACGTGAAGCCGGCCCTCCTGAAGACCCTGAAGGACCTGAAGCTGGAGTACCTGGACCTCTACCTCATCCACTGGCCCTACGCCTTCCAGTGAGCTCAACCTCCACCAAGGTCGAATAATGAGATGATTGGCTCACTGTTCTGAGAAAACCACCTTTTGTTTTCTTGGAATGATGAGCCAATTAACTTGCTATCGTGTTTGTTAACTTTTTATCTTGGGGGTTTCCAAATATTTTTTCAAAAACAAAGTTATATAAGGAAATGTTGTGACGCTGTATTCATATTCCAGCCTTTCACCTTTGTAGACTTTAAACTGAAACAGAGAGGGCCATATCTTAAGGAAATAAATGGAATGCAAAACTACAGTTCATTTTTTTCCACTTCAGTCTGTTCTTGGTTGCATTTAATCTTTTTTGAATGTGGCTCCCTCTTCGTGTCTTCTAGACAAGGAGACGTTCCTTTCCCCAAAAAGGAGGACGGCACCCTGCTGTATGACAACATAGACTACAAGCTGACCTGGGCTGCCATGGAGAAGCTGGTGGGGGAGGGGCTCGTCAGATCCATTGGCCTGTCCAACTTCAACAGTCGGCAGATTGATGACATCCTGTCTGTTTCCAGCATCAAGCCCACTGTCCTACAGGTACATGGTGATGATGAAAAGGTTTATTGTAATTGCTCCAAACAGGTTACACGTGTGAACGCCACTGTAGCGTGTCTCACGTTTGGTATTCTGAAAGCTACAGATGACACTGGCATCGCTGTGTTTTGATCGGTCAGGTGGAGAGCCACCCCTACCTGGCCCAGGTCGAGCTGCTGGCCCACTGTCGGGACCGGGGCGTGGTGATGACAGCCTACAGCCCTCTGGGCTCTCCTGACCGAGCCTGGAAACACCCGGATGAACCTGTGCTGCTTCAGGAGCCTGTGATCGCCACCCTCGCAGAGAAATACAAAAAGTCCCCTGCTCAGATTATCCTGAGGTGATATTACTCTTCAGTTAACAGATTAGATTAGATCCTGGTGTGCAAGAGTATGTATGTCTTCAGCAAAGATACTTTATCTCATGGGCTATCTTTAGAGATAAGATTTCTTTACAATTCAAAACAATTCAAACTTTCTAAATCCAGTTGTTAGAGGTTTTCACATGTTTGTAGCAGAATATGCATCACATCTGCTTTACATAACACGGCAGCACTTAACTAGATTGGGTCCATAGCATAAAAATGACAGTTAAATATGTTAAATGATTTCTGAATGCAGTGAGCAGGAAATGCATGTTAAAGTGGTGCTGTGGATCAGAAATACAGAGTAAAGCAAGTGACACTTGGAGTGATTATTTTTTTGGCCCACTGGGGGCAGTGCAACAAGCTGTTCAAGATGACAGCAGCTGACTTTCGCCGATTTGATAGTCTAACGTGAGCTGCAGGTGACTGCAGGGGCAGGGCATAAAAATCAAGCCGTCACTGCCATCAAGTCAGAACATTCTACCTGCAGCAGCTTAGTGTGAGCTGAGATCAATGACTGATCTCCAGGCAATAGTGTGGTTCCAACTTGGTGCAGTCGGGGAAAAGCAACTGCGGCCGCTGGACTCGGCGCCTGCAGCCGACTTGCTCCCGCGAGGTTGTAATGTCATGTGACATGGTGACGTTTTGCAGCACCGGCGAAAGTCAGACACAATTTCTAACCAGCATGCCTTGTTTTAAGTCCAGCATGCATCACGTTAAGTCAGCGCTGCGCAGCGCCGCATTACGTCAAACGCACCTAGTAACATACAGTGCAGTATTGTACAGTATAAAGCTGATATGATGCACTGGTTAGCATTTCTTTGCATGTGAAGCAGCACTTGACTACTAATGATGCTGTAGTTTTGGACTTGCACATCACTGCTGTATCAGTCAGGCTCTGTTTAAATGTAGCAAAATGAGACTTCAGTTTGAGAAACGGTTTATAGGATAGTCAGGTATACTTGATTGACCTAAATATGCACTGGCTGGTCAGTCACTCTCCAGCGACGGTACATTTCAACACACATCTGTTGTATTTGCAGGTGGCAGACACAACGAGGAGTGGTAACAATCCCGAAAAGTGTTACAGAGTCCCGTATCAAAGAGAACATTCAGGTACAATTTCAGTCACAGAAATTAATTAAGAGGCTTTTTTTTAGATGGTCTTTCATGAAATTTTCTGAATTGTAGAATATTAGTAGTTAAAATCAATAATGCTAAAAAGCTGTACGTGTGTTACATTTTTGTTTGTCAGGTGTTTGACTTTACCCTTGAAGCAGAGGAACTGAAAAGTATTTCAGCACTGAACAAAGGCTGGCGCTACATTGTACCAATGGTCGAAGTGAGTAGGCTTTATATACTATTGGTGCGTTCACATTCTCCTGGGAATGTCCCATTTTCCGACTTGGGAAGTCGTTCTTCTGACTTCGGTGTGTTCATGAGCTTTAAGTCATAATGTGGAAACAACATGAATGCTACAAAGATGTGTGTATTTTATTGCTCCGAGTATTAAACAGCACGCTGATGGCTGTTTCCAGTATGTGAGCAAATAATTGATAAGCAGTACGTGAATTAATCAGGTATGTGATTGGCAAAGGGCAAAAAAGTAAGAAAATGTACTGAGACCCCACCACACACCCCGATAAAATCTGGCGGCGGCACTATTATAACAAAAGACTGTGTATAATCCACTGTGCCATCGCCACCTCTCTATAATAATTATTTGTGTTTTTTTACCAAGCTTCAGCTACATATGCAACATGAAATAATTAGTTCAGTAGATGTTAATGGATTATTTTTAATGAATAAGTGACAGCAGCTAAGGTTGTCGCCTGTTTAAGACCTGGTGGCCTGACTGTTAAAGAAACAGTTGTATTACTCAGGAAACTCTGATCAAACAGTCAGATCAGTCTCTGTCTATTGATAAACTGTAGGAAAAAGTTTGGCATTTCAACTCTGGCGGCGGGGGGCGTGTGCGTGAAATGAGAATGACCGCAACAGCTTCACAGGATCGCGCCAGCTACACAGAAGCCGTTGCCATGGTTCCCTTGCGGAGCACTAGTCTGTTGGCTGAGGAGCGCAGAGCGACCCCGCGGATCAAAGCCGTCTGAAAAGGCCTTATATAAACCCTGCATGATTCACGTGGGTCGGAAAATCCGGAAAAAATCACATCCCTGATTAATAAAAGTGTCTTACCATCAATCCAACATGTACTTTCGTACACAATATTTCTGCATTATGACATTAACTCAGCATGTCCTGTAAAATTTTTTATTCCTTTACATGAATTTTATACGTTTTCCACCACATGAATGCAGGGTATATCCTGCATGATTTTAATGGCGGTGTTCTATATTGGTGAAACTTTTTTAATCCTGCAAAAGTAAATTAACATTTTAATGCCCAGAATATTGGCACAAAATATCAGATATTGGAAGTTTACAGACTACAAAAATCTGTGTCAGCCCTGGAAGAATTCCACAGGGGAAGCCCTTCTCAAGCTTGGTGAATAGCAAAAGCTGTCTGTGCGTGTAATGCCACAACTGCCAGCTTGAACAGTGAACATAAACACCCCGCTGAGGAGCAAAGACTAATGCATTAACTTTGGGTTGGATGTTGCAGGTGGAGGGACAACGCGTTCCCAGGGATGCAGGCCATCCTCACTACCCTTTCAACGACCCCTACTGATGACTCGCACTACCACCCGAATCTGTGCCTTTAACAAACCCACCAACATCACTAATCCATGTTCCTGGATCCTGGCACTGGAATTTGTCTTTAGATTATCAAATTCTGCACTTATCATTAGACCATTTCACGTTATTGTTGGTGATGAAGACTGGGATATCTGGTGTGACTGTACACATACTGTACGTGTAATTTTTTAAATAAACATTTTGTTACTTTAATTGCAGGTGTATTTATTAAACCAGTTGGTTATTTATGAATGAACCCCTGTGGAACAATGTGATGTTTCATACTGATGCAGAGGGTCAAGTTTGTTTCCAAGAGTTTGACTGTATGGTGTCAATCCATCAAATCTAAACTATGATTTGAAGTATTTTTGGTTCCACAGTGCCAGATCCACCACATCTTCAATCACTCTAGTAACTTCACGCGAGATATTGAAATGTTGCATGTTTATAGTGGAGTGTAACTGTTTACAGTGAGTTCTTTCAGAACAGAAATGTTGCCAGAGTTCTAGACACTGGATGTCTTCTTTTGGGCTTTCCTTTAACAAATGCATTAAAACAGAATGACAGTCATGAAGGTGTAACACTTTATCATTATTTCTTCTTCAAATCACTCCATGAACTGAAACACAGAGGCTTGTAATTGCATAATTTCAACCTTGACACAAGTTTGAATGTACGACATGATTGCACTTTTAAAAAAGCACACAACTCTTAACAGCATGTTTTATGACAGACTAACAACAAATACTTTAATTCTTTCTGCAGTAGAAATATTTAATTCTGTATAAAATGTCTTAATAAGAAGGACATGGTAAATGTCCCTTGCTCCACACATTCTGGGGTTCTGTGATCCACGACATTCAGTACCACCGGTCAGATATGATGGTAGTCTCTCATCTCCTGCAGCACCTCCTGTAAGGCCTCCTCCATTGTCAGTTTGGAAGGCCTGTGCTTGCGAATGTACTGTGAAAAGAGTGTGTGAATTATGTACAGGTTTCACAAAGCCATATCTTAATTGTTTAATGCAATATGGAATTAGGAATGTAAGACTAATTTAAGGAGACTGGTTTCCGTTCCTTTTACTTGTCGGCCTCATGATACTGATGCATTTTCTACTACACTGAATGATAGACCAATGTTCTTTTACAAATTGGATATTCACTTGAGGCTTTAAACCAGCAATTAAACAGCCATTTCCTTTGTTCCTTTGAGTCCAACTTAGGAAACCACTGATAACTCTACAACAGGTGTGTAACTCTGTGTGTGTGTGTGTGTGTGTATGCATTACCTCCTTGGTTTCCTCCAGTGTGGTGTATCTATAGTTTGGTGGTTCCAGGCTCTGCACCAGGCTGGAGTGAAGACGTCGGCTGCTTTCGATGTACCGCCTTGTCATGGCAAGTTGCTGTTTCAGCATTTCGTTGAGTGCAAATACAGCTGGATTAAAGTTGCTACGAGCTGAGGGAGGGACATGGGACACGCAGAAAAACCATAGAATCAGTACCATGACTTTAGGGCTCCAAGCACAAAGCATATTCACTGGGTTTAAGGCAAATGCTGTTACTTGTGAAGGACTCTGCCACTACTACTACCACTAGTGTGAGATGAAAAGATGTAAATTACTGTCTTCACCAAAACCCCACACCAATGGCCATACGCAGGGTTTTATAATTACCGAGGGCTGGACACACATAGATGTAAATAGCAAATTATAGAACTTTAAAGTAATGTTTTTTTCCCAAGAATTAAAGGAGAAGATTGATACCATCAGTTACACTGTCATTCTGTGGGAAACACTGCGCTGTGGTATCCTGCAGTTTATTTAAATTGGGTAGGTCAGACTTTTAAATAAATCGGAATCAGTGCATCTCTGCATTTCACCCATAGATGGTGCAACAGCAACAGATTTAAATGACCCTACCAAAAGCGTATGACTCATTTTGATCATTCTTGTACAAACACTATACTCTCTACATTATAGCTACCATCTGGATCCAGATTCAGGTTTAACATTTTTTTATATTTTCAATTATATAACAAATGTAAAAGATTTAGCCTTGGAAAGGAGGAAAGCACTCTGAGAGAGCCTCCTGGTGTTCTATCTGTATTCATGTAGTATTATGTTCTGTTTAATTGGGTCCTACCTTCCACAATTTCTGCACTGAGAGTATGAGCGACCACTGGGGTGGGATCCATGTAGGTCATACCCAATGCAGGACCAAAAGTCGCCATACCTACAGAGAGAGGAGAGCCAGAGATAAGAAAAAGACAACTCTACTGTTCATAATGTCACTGTCAAATTAAGCCAGATAACTTGATGACTACTGTGAAGAAATGCTGCAGTGGTAGTGAGGATTGGTGGCCATACCACATCTTAAATATACACACGCCATGTATGGCAGACTAACCGGCAGGCCATGTGTAAGCCAGTGGATCAGTCTGAGTCTGTACTGCTGCCTCTTTTAAAGCCTTCCTGGTTGAAGCGCGCCTCCTGACTGGCGAGATAAGGTTCGGCTGCCATGTGATACAGAGGATCTTGAGTCCCTGCCTCTGTTGAGTGTTTGACTGCCATCTGAAGTCCGTGAGGCGTAGCAGCGACTTGTATCTGAGAAAGTGCTTGAGTAATCATCGTCTGTCTCCCACAGGACATGTTTGAATCTGAAGCCTCTTCTCTGACCTCTGATAGCACCTCCTCTTCGTCTCCATCCACTTGCACATGCTCTGAAACCTGGCTGGCACTGTAATCTGGTTCTGTCCTGCTCTCACTCTCAAAGTCACTTTGGTAGTCCAGCTGGTCCTCCTGCTGCTGCTGCTCTTCCTTTCTTTCTCCCTCTCCTTAGATCTTGCCAACTGTTGATGTCTGTTCAGAGATCCAGGAAGAGGGAGCTGGCTTCTCTCTGTTTAGGCAGCAGAGAAGAAAGCATACATGTTAGTATAAGCAGTCCCTCGGGATTCTACAAGATCCACAGTAAACAGAGAAAAGGCTCAATTTAACTTTAATTCACTAGACAATTTCCCAAATTTGAGTATAAGAAAGGCTGTTGTAATCCCAACTTCTATTGTTATTACTATTATGCTATATCAGACAGAAGACAATAGGGATAAGATTAGCAATGTTTGGGTTTGTCTAGCTGGCTACGTAGCTATATAAGGATGTTGTTGAAACTTTCACAAAGTGATGCATTTACTTTTCGTGAACCAACCAATCACAGCCTGGATGGGGGGGTGACATTAAAAAAAGGTCGACATGTTATAGTAAACTTTCCAAATGTTGAACTTGTTGTTATGCATGGATGGTAATGATTATTGCTAACATTGTACTTAGTATTAACAAATTAGAAAAAACATTTGAATAGATTAAATTTATCATTTCCGTGGACTAGAAATCATTGTTTTATTTGACGGCCATGCTGCCCTGGCATGTGGCCTTTGTGCTCTCAAAGAAATGAACACTAAAAGCCTTGCCCCTAAAATGATGAAATTCCAGGCCTGCTCCTGTATGATAAAGTGGGGACATATCATATCAAATGAGGGAGAATTATCTCAATGTGGCCATCTGATCTTTGTGGGCCACTTAAAATCCATATTGGTTTACCACACAAGTGTATTTTCATTTAGTATGTTATTGGGAATTTACAATAGATTTTTCTTTAAGCTGTATTAGTTTTAATGTAATTCTTTATTTCACCATGCATAATAACTTCATTCCCCCCTTTCCTGGTGTTTCCTCAGTAAATCCAAGGTTAGCAGGGACAAGGTCGTCTAACGTCATCACATTTATCTTGAAGTCTGCAATAACCAGATCAAAACAGAAATTCATAAATGATAAATGAGGTATCACCACAGATATTTTGTTCTACCTATTAATGCATAAGGTAAATATACATTAAAAGCATGTGGTGAGCAAAAACTAGAAAATAAATGTTTTCTAGGCAGCTGTCACAGCAATTCTAAAACACGGTTATATGTTCAACAGTAATGCATGTCAGAACGTAATAATACCTGCAGAATTTCTCCCCTGAAAGCATAAAAATGGTGCCTATACATTTAAAAAAATAAAAATAAAGCTTGACATAAACTTGAGATGAGCTGCACAGTAACTCTTACATCCTGTTCTGTTAATTCTAATCTACAGAGGGATGATTTCTGTACCTTGTGTCCATCTAGGATGCATAAGATGAGGAGGGAGGAACATGATTAATGAACAAAAACACCAT